TAAATAAATTATTATTGCGCACTTAAACATGACCTTCGCCTCATTAAAGGGTCCCTAGAACATTATAAGTAGCTGATGACCCCCGCCCCCCTTACCCTTTCGTTTCCCCTTTGTCAGCTCCGCCAATGGTTTATTTGTGGTGGTGCCCTTGGTTGAAAGCTTTTATTGTTTCCAGAAATTCCGTCAATGTTTATTTTGTTAGTGTGGTTCAAATTCTTCGCTTTACGAATAAGGTGTAATTGTTGGTCATCCCCTTTGTGGGATGCAATTTTTCGTTATTTTGAAGCCCCACCCTGGCTCTTGTCAGGGGCCGCAATATAACCGGCCATAAATATGGCCTGATGGCTGAATGCGGTTTCCGGGACCTCTCCACGGCGGGTGATCTTCATCCACATTGTAGCACTTTGTGTCGTCGCGTGTTTATCGCTTGTGTGGTGTCCTAGTGGGGTAAAATGTACTACAACTGCTACTGCTTCACGATTTGTTCTTTCATCCTCACTTGATTCCATTGAGGTTTACTGTAATTTTGTGAATTCCCGGGGAAATCCCAGAGAGTCCCCGATGGGGAGGACAAGGTCTGAGGACCAGTGATATAAGAGGAACATGCAATGTGCTCTGCAAGGGGTTTGATTCTACAAGCCACATTGCTGTGTTAACGTACACGTAGTTGCTAGGACACACCAGACGACGAACGTTTAGCTATTGACCTTTATTTGCTGATACAATCATCTCACTGACAGCGCATTCTTTCGTTCTCGTGGTCGCTTTGCATGCCTGATTTCTGATGACCTGGTCAACTCTCTCACACGGTGGTTCGCTCCGATCGCAACTCTCGGGTCACACATCAGTATCACACTAACGCATTGTACCAGGTATTAGTACATGTTGAAACTGGCAATCAGGAAACATTAATATCTGATCTCGAACAATTATACGTGATCATAAGCTCTCCGTTCTCATCAGGTGTTCTCTCACATACGACCGCACACAACCAGGTCCGAACTTCAACTGTCTTATTACCCTCTGTGGGTTCACTTTCTCCGTTCCATCCTCACGCTTTTCTTGTATCCTTTTTTCACTCACCACGGTATACTCGAGACCCGCTTATCTCGTTTTCCTCTTGTATCACTGGTCTTCTGACCTTGTCCTCCCCATCGGGAACTCTCTGGGATTTCCCCGGGAATTCACATTACATTTGCAATGCAGTAATGCGCAAGTTTGATGAATGCCTCAAAACCTTTTACAGTATGTCTTACTAACGTTCGATTTCTGAAGCGGACGGTTTGCTAACATGAAAGGCCAGACTTTCTAGCGTAGTTGGTTAAACCGGATTGCGCGGTGACCGGGTGACGAACTCATTGTGGTCCGGGTTCACTCCCGGGGGTAGGCAGAAGAGCCACATTTCTCCCAGATTTACGGTATTTACAATGGAATCAAGGCCGAAAGGTTGCGATATCCATAATACCGAGCCTAAGGGTTAACAACTCATGGCTTCTGAATACTAAAACAAACAAGCAACAAAATAAAATGAAAGCGCTTTCATAGTTTTCAAGCAGTAGTACAGGAGTCAAGGAGTGGCTGGCTGAACTGTTAAGAAGGCTGGCCTCTCATGCTGGAGACCTAAGTTCGAATTCTCGATAAGGTCGTGGATTTTTTTCTGTCGGGAGTTGAAAAGAAATGGTGGCCTGAAAACTCTGCGGCGATAGCACCAGTAGTACGTTCTGAGGCTCAACAATAATGCAAGTCCTTTTGCAAAACAGCGCTCTTATCCGTCTGTTGGTCAGCTTTTTCGCCTTCGACAGGTCCGCTGTCTGGTGAGCGCCGATATCTTTGGTCAACTTATGTTGTCTTGTCGTCAAGGAAGACAGCAAAACTACGAACTCCCGAGACTCAGGCTAGTTTGCAGAGGTAGAACAGTGTTTTATTGGGATTATCTTTGTCTGTGTTTCATTGGGACCATCTTTGTCAGTGTTTCATTGGGACCATCTTTGTCAGTGTTTCATTGGGACCATCTTTGTCAGTGTTTCATTTGGGACCATCTTTGTCAGTGTTTCATTGGGACCATCTTTGTCAGTGTTTCATTGGGACCATCTTTGTCAGTGTTTTATTGGGACCATCTTTGTCTCTATTTCATTGGGATCATCTTTGTCAGTGTTTCATTGGGACCATCTTTGTCTCTATTTCATTGGGACCATCTTTGTCAGTATTTTATTAGGACCATCTTTTTCGGTTTTTGATTGGGACCATCTTTGTCAGTGTTTTATTGTGACCATCTTTGTCAGTGTTTTATTGTGACCATCTTTGTCTGTGTTTTATTAGGACCATCTTTGTCTCTATTTCATTGTGACCATCTTTGTCAGTGTTTCATTGGGACCATCTTTGTCTCTATATCATTGGGACCATCTCTGTCAGTATTTAATTAGGACCATCTTTTTCGGTTTTTCATTGGGACCATCTTTGTCAGTGTTTTATTGTGACCATTTTTGTCTGTGTTTTATTGTGACCATCTTTGTCTGTGTTTTATTGTGACCATCTTTGTCTGTGTTTTATTGTGACCATCTTTGTCTGTGTTTTATTGTGACCATCTTTGTCTGTGTTTTATTGTGACCATCTTTGTCTGTGTTTTATTGTGACCATCTTTGTCAGTGTTTCATTGGGACCATCTTTGTCAGTGTTTCAATGGGACCATCTTTGTCAGTATTTCATTGGGACCATCTTTGTCAGTGTTTCATTAGGACCATCCTTGTGCTGAACGGACTAGGATGTGGACAGAGGCGAGTCTCCGACGCTAAATCGATTACGTGACCTGTGTGGGAGACGTGGTCAAGCAAATATATGCTGTTGTCGAGGTTCACATAGGAGACGTTGTAACAAACTTATTATGGAGAAGTCTGTTGGGTTACTTCGGGATGACTACTGCATCAAATTCGGGTGGCCAGAGTTCAGTGACTTGGAGCTACTTTGGGATGACAACTACATTGGAGTACTGAGTACACGTTGGGATAGCCAGAGTTCAAGGACGTTGAGCGTGTTAGAACAATAATCTTAGTCGAAGTTTCAACGTCACTGCAATCGGGTTTCCCCGTTCTTGCTCCGTTCCTGTGCCAGTGCAAATCAATGAGATGTCTTTCAATGTCGCATTTGAAAAACGGATGAACAACAATTAGTTCCCGAACAGTCCAGAAATATGCCAGCGCAGCAAATGCATATGGCGGTTGCAAGAGACGCCAAAGGCAACAGTGGCCACCAGAAATGCTGTTTATCGTTGATGGAAGTAGTCGGGCACGATAAGTTGGCTATACACAAGTAGAATTATTACAAAAGGTATTTCACCAGACCCACGTAAACCGGCAACCGGCCATATTGAATACAACAACTTAACTGCTGCACAAATGAAAGACATTCCACGTGGGAAAAAATGCAGCTCCCAGGGCTGCACCATGCATTAAACGTAGTAACTCAGGCAGAGTAACCATAGACTACCGTCCGTATATTGAAACTGCACTAGCAGAGCGCGGTCGGAAGCAAAAATAACTTGGAAACTTAATATGCTGTCATGCCTAGTCCTCCATGTTAGACCAGAAGTTCGTGATCAAACAATGTTCCATGAATATAAAACATAGACAGTGTTCCCGACGAGACATAATGAAATTATTATCAAAATCTTAGTGTCTTTGTGACATGTGTTTTCTTTTATTCTGTTTATTTTTCAGATCTAAGGGAACTGTCCGTCATTGATATTTTCTACATCATTGAACATCAGGTGGTACAGGATTAAGGAGAATCACCACACAGCGATATTTTCGATAAATTATCGTCTACACACTGAAACATCATCGCTGTTGTTTAGGTCAAAGCATTTTTGGAGCAATTGAACACTTGTGTTTGTTCAGGGGATCTTCTACTAACCGTACGTCAAGCGAACACACATCTTCTACTCGTCGTCGTTGTATTAGTGCCGACCAGGATATATCAATTTGTTTATCATAACACTGAATCAATAGGGGTCATTACCTCGTATAGCAAAGACGGACATAAATAACGGCGACGTTTAGGACGTGCGTTAGGCTCTGATGTGTGGTTTTATAAAAATTATTGAATGTTGAATTAAGAATCGACATTACAGCACTCGGGACACTCCCATAAGTGCTCAGTCCACATCTTTATCAGCAACAAGCGAGGAGTTCCAATTCTGATGGTACCAGTAACCTTGAGTGTTGAGCGTCGGCCAGATCCCCTGGTAACTCCTCGCAGCGCCATTCTCCTTAGACCGTAATGATCTATCACTCGCTCCCAAGGGGCCATCACAATATCTAACTTGTCACACATCAGTTCACCACCAAGTGGCGCAGAGCCAGCCAGTCTATCTGCCTGCTAATTTCCCAACACAGTGGGCGTAACCTGGATAAAATATCCGAAGGATGCTAACTACCCGGGACCTCTGAAGTAATGCCTGCCACGCCAGTGGTTGATAAAAAAATTTTCAATTACACTGTATGGACGATAGCCGTCCTCCTGATGGTGTGAGACAGAGTAGTGACATTTTCAAAAGCCGTCACTGCCTTTGGTTTCTTCTAAATGACTCTGATGGTTGTGTTGGTGGTGGTGGGGATGATGATGGTGATGATGACATGTTACAGATTACACTTCTGTTTTTTTTTTTTTTTTTTTTTTACTCCATCAGTGCTTGAAGACTTTGCAGCAGATTCTTAGATATCGCAACAGCTAACGTCAAACATCTTGAGTGTTTTATTTACATACTGGCAACAAATACACAACTTGTATGAGCGCTGCCATGTTGTGTGTTAACTGAAATAGCCAGATTTTGTCACTTTGCTAAGACGATATTCTTTGATTGGTATTTGATGAGAATATTCCATCCCTGAAAGTTCGCACATTGACACAAATACATGTTTTTAATTGTTTTGTAAACTGTGTTTTTGAAATTTAGTCAAAGCAGTTGGCCAGTCTATAGACGTATCCTGTGACGGTCCAAAGCCATGGAACAAGTTGGTTTATCTGATGCACATTTAGTTACGTGGTTTGGAAGTTCTTTCAACAACACAACAATGTCGCCTTTCAACGCTACAGCTAACGAGGAATCGAAAGAAACCTTTGAGAGACTGGTAGGGATTATTATTCCCGTTATCTTCGGAGCCATTTTCCTGTTAGGACTGTTCGGGAATTTTCTTGTAATCATGGTGATCGTAACTGACAAGCGTATGAGAAACACGACAAATATATTGATTCTTTCCTTAGCTATTGCAGATCTAATGTTTATTGTCTTTTGTGTACCGTTTACAGCCACACTATATACTCTACCCGTTTGGCCATTTGGAGCTATCTGGTGTAAGACGGTGATATACTTGATGTATGTGTCTGCTTATGCTAGTATGTATTTTTTAGTAATCATGTCCTTGGATAGATATCTGGCGGTCGTGCACGCCATACGTTCTATGACTTGGCGCTCAGAAAGAAATACATGGCTTGCTGTAGCTGCCATCTGGATCATTTTCCTTTGCGGAAATATACCAATCTTTGAGCAGTGGGGTGTGATTGATTACGATTATTTTGGCGAGAATCGATCTAGATGTTTTCAGATTTCGTTACTTGAGGATGACTATCAAGCTAAGGCGTTTTTCGGCAGTTTCTTCTTTTTTGGATACGTCTTCCCGCTAGCAATCACCTTGTTGCTGTACGGACTTATGCTGAAGCGACTTCTCTATGGCGTCGTCCCTGGAGGTCGTAATCAGTCTTCAGAAAGCATGAGAGCCAAGAAACGTGTCACCAAAATGGTAGTTATTGTAGTGATCATCTTTGCTCTTTGCTGGTTACCACTGCAGATCTGCCTGTTTCTCCAACATATAATTGGCGTAGAAGTTGGCGTTTCTCTAGCAAGTATAACAATGGCCGCCAATTGCTTTGCGTACAT